TCCTCACCCCTTACGAACCCGTCAATGATGCGAAGTAGGTGCTCGAGCGTCTGCGGCTCCTTGTTGGCGATTTTTCTTATTAGTTCGCCCTCAAGCAGACTGGCCGAAGCGGCGTTTATAACCGACGCCTCGGTTATGTCTTGAACTTGGCACTGGGCTTGCGAGAAGCGACGCATGTACTCCCTTATCGACTCCCCCGGCCTTTGGCGAATGCCAAGAAGGTGTTGCTGCGTCTTCGGCTCCTCATAGGTGCCTCGAAAGTTAAGGACAAAAACATCACGCAATTGCTCCCATGAGTAAATGCTATTGGCTGGTAAATTGAAATACCAAGAGCGGGCGATGCCGTCTAGAGCGAGATGTATTACCTTCGCCTTGGTAATTTCGTCACCATGAGCCGCTTTGATCGCTGACTTGTAGATGGAGAGGAACTCCTTCGGGTCAGTTTCGCCCGAATAACGCGGGACAGGTGGGAACTTGAACTGGGGCGGGATTGGACGAGTCTTGACTCCCCCACTCAGCGGCAGCCCCTTTTCGCCTCCCGCCCTGTTTACCGCACCTTGTTACTGGTACGGTGTGGCGAAGGGCGAAATCACAGCTTGTGTGTGGAGTTGGGCCGTGGCATTCGACTGCCCGGCTCCAACTGGTGGTACTTGCTGGGCCGCCATGGATTGGTCAAAGATTGGCTGCGACCACATCATGGCAGCTTGGATTGGTGCTTGGTTTGTTCCGAAGCCTGGGGTTGGAACTTGCTGCCGAACGGTTGGCACCTGAGCAGTGTTGACGAAGTCGAACTGCGGTCCTTGACTCCACGGCGAAGGTCCCGAGCCTGGCTGAATTGGTGGCAACCAATTGGGCACACCTTGACTTGTATTCCCCACCGGGTAAGCCGATGGGGTTGTGCTTGAAATGTAGTGGGGTTGGTTGAGTTGCTGAAGGAAAGCTTGGAGTTGCGCCTGCAGAGCCGAAGCCCCTTCCGCCACTGGTTGTGGCGCTTGGCCAGGTGGTTGATGCTACCCGGCGAAGTACACCGGCGGCTATGCGGCTAGTGGCGGAGAGGGATGGGTCACCACTTGCGGCCGGACTTGAGGTAGGGCATAGCCTACCGAATACTGAAGGATTGGAGCCGACGTGGCCTTGGTCCGCCTTGTCGCCTCGTATGCTTGTTGTTGTTCTTGCATTTGGCGAAGCATGTCTTGGAGCCATGTCATGTTCTGCCGCATGGCTTCCATGTCGGCTTCGGCTTGCGCTTCGGGGTCCAGGCTGATTTGGGCCTGTACAACGGTGAGCGCAATTGGCGCCGCCGGCTGCGACGGGGCGGCTTGAGGCACCACCAGTTGGTTAGTCGAAAGGATCTCCACCTTGGTCTGGAGTGTCCTTCCCGCCGCAGCCGCCTTCGCCACGTCGGCCGTGTTCGGCACTTGCACTGAGGTTGCGGGGGCCGAAGACGGTTGTGGTGGCGCGGGGGCCGAAGGCGGCTGTGATGGCGCTTGTGCTTCTCCATCTTCGGCCACGAACGCCGAAGGCTCTGCTCCTTCCTCGGCGGCCATGTCCGGTCCGGCATCGCTCTCCTTCCGCCTGACAACCTTCTCCTTCACGACCCTCTTCAGTGGCATTCGCTCTCAGTGGTTTCGCTCGGAGTCCCCACGGACGGCGCCAGCTGTTGTCGAAACGACAACTGCATACGTCAAAAGACGTGGTTACTCAACAGTGGTTGGAAAAATGAAGTGTACTAAATTTTGAATTTCACTTGGGATCCCCCCATTACATGGCCCTAGGGGACTATTTATAGCCCCATTACAGGTTCTTACTACTAGGGTTTAGGTTGTACAGGGGAATTTACATGATTACCCTTACAGAAGAGACATTTACAGGGGTACATAATGTTATAGGGGCTCATGGGCCCCTGATGGGCCGTCTGGCGATCGCCGGCCTGATGGGCCGGAAAGGCTTCCTCGGCCCTCGCGGGGGCGAACTTGTCAAGGCGAAGTCATCCTCCTTCGGCAGACAGTCTTCGCCTTGCACCCTTCGCCTGAGACGCCTCTGGCCTGGCGCTACTCTTCGCCTTGCGCCGTTCTTGCTCCATAGCCTTCGCCATGGGTTTCGGCAGGTTTGGTTGAAGGGCCTCATGCCATCCGCCAACAATGTCAATCAAAACTAAAAAGTACATGAACAGTCCAGATCTTGGCAGAATAGGACCACAAATATTCTCTTGAATGTGTTCAAGGAATTTAAGTGGCTCAGCTCTATTTTGAGAGAAGAAGGTGTCAAAATCAGTTTCCCAGTAGCACCTATAGTGCATACAAAATCAGAGGATTTGGGAAATTTTTCAGTTATCAAATGATGACCAATAGAATTGCTAATAATTTTTCTCATCATCTCGATACCGGGGTGCCCAAGTCGATCATGCCAAGTGTAGAATGCATCAACATTTTGAAAAATTACTTTATATGCACCATGTGCAACAGGCTTAATGTATGTATAGTACAATCCCGATGTGAGAGACGGAATTTTCTCGCAAATGTGTTTTCCATATCAGTTTTGTTTAGTTTATAGAAGAAATTCTTCTCGATTATACATATTGGGTTTCAATGTGGAACCCATTTTGTGCCTAGGCCTTTTGTCTGGATCTGGAAAACAAAATGTGTAATGAAGATTAAAGTTTTTGCTTGGCTTTTATTCAGAGACAGACTTAACACAAGAGACATGCTGGATAGGCGACATTGTGCAAAGGAAAATGATGACCTCACTTGTGAATTATGCCAGAATAATATCAGAGAGACAAGAGAGCATCTTTTTTTCTTTTGCCCTTTTAGTAAACTTTGCTGGCAGCATTTGGGAATTACGTGGAATCCTGACCTAGAATTTTTTCAAATGGTGGTTTTGGCTCGCATTCAGTTTAATTAGAAAGGTTTCTTGGAAGTTTTCTTCATTGCTGCTTGGCATATTTGGAAGCAAAGGAATGGGAAAATTTTTCGCAATGAGCTTCCCTCGTTCAGTTCTTGGAGGGCTTTATTCAGAGCTGAGGTTCTTCTGCATTTGTGCAGAATGAAGGATCCACTAAAACAGATTGTTTCTGATTGGTTACAGACAGTGTGATACCTTGATCTTTTTTTTTGTTTTCTTTCTGTAATTTGTAAATAACCTTTTCATTTTATAAAATTACACTGCGAGGCAAAGTCCTGGCAGTATTTCCAGTCAAAAAAAAATGTGGAACCCATTTTGATGGATATCTCTATAACTCAGTAGGGGTTGAATCAGGACACAGTAAGGCATTGTAATTTCTGTATCCATTGGGAATGTAATAGTTGCTCGTCCAGAGCCAACTATCACAATAAGGCATCCAGCGATGGTCAAAACTTTGCCTTCTCTCTTTTTTGAGAGTTTGAAAGTATTTGAGCTCCCTAAATATAGAGTTTGTGGTACCATTATCCACAAGACATAATTCCTCTCCAATCGGAACAATATCCTTAGACATCTTCTCTGTTGATTCCCTTTTGTTTCTCCTTCTCTTTCTCCTTCGCGAGAGAGCGGAAGTGCTGATAGCGCATTATAGAAAGTTTGAGAGAGATTGAGCGAGACAAAGATATTACTTTATTGATCAATGCGGGACAATCATATAGATGGGAAAGGGGTGGCAACCGTAGACGCAATGGTTAGGAACCATCGCGCCCGTTTCCAAGGAGCACCGAGTGGGGAGAAGGCACGGTTGCCGTCGGTTGCTGATCCCATCTTATATGGATGAGATCACCCTGTAGTTAGTTTCTTAACAACTAGGTGAAACCCCGCGCGTTGTTGCGGCAGTTTACTTTAATAACAATAAGTAAAAATAATGTGTAAGATAGCTTGAACAATATAGTCTGATATAAACATAAGTTACACTAGTTAGGTGCCCGTGCGTTGCAACGGGAAAAATATAACTCTTTTAGAAATTTTAGGACTCATCATGGACAAACACTTCTTTAATTTGATGGTGGCATAAACGAGTTTTAGGAGGGGAAAAGATTTCCCACCAGATGGCATAAACTAATTTGTTATCCCAAGAGAGAAGTTCAACATATGAATTCACCCTTTAGCTATTTCTAAACTCTGATACATATTTATGAAAATGAATAGAAGGGCCAGGCAGTGCAGATTTGCAGGGGATACAGATGGAGATAGAAGAGTATGGCATTTTCACCAGAGTTAGGTGATACCTTCCGGGCTCTGGGTTTATCATCTTACAAAGGAGTTGAAGTTCAAAATTTCAGTTTATAGTTCACTTCTTTCGATCTTTTACTTTTCCATCTGATCATGGTTTCAGCACAAATAGCCAGAATCCACACAAGGATTATGAAATTACTTTACCTGAACAAGCACACACTTCCCCCTTGTGTTTTACAATCGTACGGAGTGCAATTTTTGTGAATCTTGACTTTCTTAAAATCATTGTGCATACCTAAAATTTGGCATGGTACAAAAATTAATTGGATGGCAGCGGCACACATACTATTCTACTAAGGCCATCCATCATTTATGGTTGATTCATATGGTTCTGAACTCTAATATGATTATATGGTTGCGAAACTTTCTAACTCACTATATTTGCATACAAAAGATACCTGATTTTCAGAGAGGGGGGGGGGGGGAGGTGTCGAAAAATACAGATTCTGTATGCATAAATGGAGCTTTAATAAGCATGGATGAACTAAAAGTAAAACAATAGTTATAATGTGTACGTCTACTGCAAACCAAAATGCAATCTTAAAAATAGAAATCATGTTTACCTTGAAGACAGTGTCACATGGATCAAATTCAATCTTTAAGCTTGGCAAAAATATTACCCCTCACTTATTTTTTTGAAGGTTGATCCAACTTAGAAACAATTTTCAACCCTTACACTGTCATTCCCTTGCAGCGCTCGACATCATCCATCACACATGAGTTCTTTTTTTCTAAACCAAACCAATGTAAGCCTGCGAGTAAGCGCACACCAGCAATTTTCTGTTGTCATCGAGCGTACATTAAAAATGTAAAATGAAGGCCTGAGTTGCCAATAATTTTAATTAATCCACACTTCTATAGTAGTTCCATACATCAGATCAGTTTTAAATCATGAGCTTATTCACAATTGGAACCGTCTTCTATAGTAGTTCCCATACATCAGGTCGGTTTTAAATCATGAACTTATTCATAATTGGAACATCTCTCAGGCTAAGTCTCAAAAACCTAGTAAAAGGAAAACAAAAGGATTGATTACATAACTCTACATGGCTGATTAGTAAGCACTAATCAAGTGTTGTTCAATAAAAGAAGAACTTTACATGTACTTGTCAGAACTTGGCATGTGCTCCTGCACCCGCTGCAAGATACATGACTCCTAATGTTCACTCAGCGGAGTGTGTATTCATGACTCACGAGCTTTGAGTGCTGCAAGATACAATAGAAGTACATGACTACTAATTTTCAGTATATGTAAGTTAGAAATCTACAGGATTGTATATAGGAAATAAAGGAAGCCTAAGGATAGCTATAGCTAGACAAATAAATTGAGCAAAGTTCAACCTACAGATCCGTAGTTGTATTCATTGAATTAATTAGCAGTTTTTTTCTCAGACATGTATAAGAGGGAATGGCCATCTCTGAATTTTTATTGCCACCACTTGTTTTTCTATTCAGATTAATTATTTGCTTGTGAATCAGGCTATATGCATATCTGTTCAGATTGCCATAGCGTATGTTTCAGATATTTTACTGCATTTTCTTGAACCTATCCAAATATCAGTTTTGCCCACCTAGCTTGCAGGGTTATAATTCATAACAGCTTACTGTACAAAGAACAATACTGCATGCTTGTGTTTAGCTTGTTAATTCAGGCCAGCATTAAAATATTTTGCTTCTCCATGTTAAGTACAGTGGTTTGGTGAGAATCTCAGTTGATAATCTTCTGAGCAAGTAAGCCAGTTGTTCATCTTGGAACAACCCATGTTCCACCATATACATACAACCTTCATTCAATCAGTTATGTAACATAAAATTTACTGAAGTAATCGATCATCTAATATTACATTCTGAATTCAGTCACAAGATATGAACAAGACTACAAGAGTAGGTAATAATAGCAATCGAGACAAACCTGATTTGAGCAATTCCTGCTGCAAGAAGGGTGCCCTGAAGAAATTAGCACCTAATTTGCATCTCTTAATGGAAAGGATCTTCAATTAAACATGGATTTCCGCAGCAAACTGAAATAACATCAGAGGGAAGAGGTCCAAACCTGCAAGCCTGCATACTGCCTCATCTCAAGTCTTCATCACCTTCGTCGGTGCCTCCTACTGCTTGGGCTCTGCCAATCCGGAAGAGTAGCGGCAGTCGGCACGAAAGCGGGAGGTGGGAGCCCAGTGGCAGTGACGGACGGGCCGACCGGCGTGTGCTCCTCTTCTCCCCACCTCGGCCCCAGCTCTGTCCTCTCTGGCGATGCTTGGTTGGAGGTTCGCCACATAGCTTCTCGGTCCCAACGGAGGAGCCGAGGATGGGGAGCAGCTCTTCGCTCTAATCTGGAGGAATCGTCGTGGTGATCTGGAGATGGTTAGGCGGCGCGACGGGGATATAGTGATGAGGGATCGCGCGGCTATGTGGCCGCGGACGATGGGCGGCTGCGACAAATCGTGGACGGCGGAGTAGTCGCCAGGGGTGGGGGTTGGCAACCGCCGGTGGCCGGACGCGATGGCGACGGGCTTCGGCGGCAGACGGCGCTGGGCGGAGTGGCCGGCTGGGCGTGAGGGGCGACGAGCAGATGCGGCAGGGAATCGGCGACATGCGGTTGTGAGGAGGGAGGCGGAGCAGTAGGGAGGGGCGAGTTGATCCGCAATTGAGGGGATGAGCGAGGAAATGTAGGCCGTTCGATCTGGCGATCCGATGGTTGTCTTTACGCGTGCATGTCAGGGTTGGAGTTACCGTCACCACTACGAAATTTTAAAGTAGTAGAGATAAGTTGATGTGATTTAAATTTGCATTGTATATATAATAATAATTCAAATATAAAAGTAAGATGATGTGGCTTTATGGGAGAAAGAAAGTAGGAAGATAATTTAGACCATTCATCTAAGGGCTAACAAAGATGACCTGGCTTAATGAGAGAAGAAAAATAACATGAACTAAGTGAGGATGAACTATATAGGTATATAGGTATCAACAGGGGATACCCGTAAAACAGATGAATAGGATATTGGGGGTATGTTGGTACGAGGATCTACACGATACGACATCAAGCAAACAAAAAGACAAGGATTATACTGGTTCACGCCCCTCGTAAGGTAATAGCCCTAATCCAGTTTATATGAGATTGATATGGAAATACCACATATTACAATAGTGAACTGATGATCCCGAGATTACCGGCGAGATCCTTGTCGAGATGGTTTCGACGAGATCTTCCGGCGTGTAGGCTTCATGTGCTCCAGGTTGTAAACTATAGTAGACCCAATCCTCTCCGAGTAGGACTCTACTATTCACTTACTCGTAAGGATAATTTCCACAATCTCTTGCTAATTTCTTTATTGTATACGGAAACATACCGTACACACGAAGGTATGTTGTATCCGTATATTTCATAAGTCGTAGGATATGAGGTATGCCTTGTCCGTAATTGTTAGTGGGTGATGATGTGATATTTTTGCATGTTAAGTTTTAGGAATTAGTGATAGTGGATGATGATGTGGCATCTTTGCATGTTAAGTATTAGGAATTAGTGGGATATAACTATTAGTAAGAGAGGATACCGCTGATACATTTAGAGCAAGTTTAATAATATAGCCAACTAATATCTTCAAATTATCTATAGCCAATCTAATAGCTTATTCATACAATAGTTACCTATAAACATATACTACACCATTAATATATGGTCCCATCTCTCGTACACACACAACGTATTAGAGTTCGTGCTGCAGCTGACTACAAATCTAAAGCCCACTTTTTTTCTCTCTTCTCTTCTCTCTATATGTGTTTACAGCTAACTTATAGCCTGCTCTTGTACTCGCTATTACTCTTAATTTTTACTAGTTAACTCATAGTAGTACTACTCAGCCCACCTCAATATGTACGGCATTTATTGGCTATTGATACCCCAATTGGTCGATGCTAGTTCATCTATGCTGGTTGCTACTTGTGTGTTTTCAATAAAGTTAGAGAGCAATAATAAAATTCATCTTAAATTTTCACTCGCATTAGAGTTGACTTATTCGTGATCGTGTCTGGCCATGTTGGCAAAAGAAACCAATACTCCATCCAACTTATGGCCTGTTTAGATCCCTGGTAAAAATTTTCACCCTGTTACATTGAATGTTTAGACATATGCAAGAAGTATTAAATATAGACGAAAAAAACTAATTACACGGATTACGTGTAAATTGCGAGACGAATCTTTTAAGACTAATTGCTCCATGATCTGACAATGTTGTGCTACAGTAAATATTTGCTAACGACATATTAATTAGGCTTAAAAAATTCGTCTTGCAGTTTACAGGCGGAATCTGTAATTTATTTGTTATTAGTCTATGTTTAATATTTTAAATGTGTGTCCGTATATACAATGTGACACGCCAAAAATTTTCACCCCTCGATATCCCCACAAAGCACATGCCTTATGTGATTTGCAAAAAAATAAATAAATAAATAAATAAGTAACTTGGTTGAGCATTTTAAAAGATAAGTCACTAAATTACACCCACATCACGAGTTGTGGTACTATCGACATATTTTACTCAAAAGTTAATGTAGAAATTAATACTTACAGGGGATTCAGGGCCTCGACCTTATAGCATACTCCATCCATCCTAAATTATAGGCCGCCCTCTTTATAAGGAAAATCAAACTCGGTATTTCTGACTAATAATTATACTAACCATAATATGTTAAGTATTATGCATGTTATATCACTAGATTCATAATTTAAAGTACTTTCATGTAATGCTAATTTCATATTTGTTGGGAACAAAACATAGAATAAATTAATGATCAAAATATATCATTGAAAACCGTGTAAAAAGATAAAGACCTTATAATTTGGGACGGAGGGAGTATCTAGCAATAACTCTTATTTTAGAGCCTCAATGGCTAAATGGGGGCTACCCCATTTTCCGAGTACCTAAAATTACCTCTAATTCCCACAACCCCCATTTCTCAGCCTTTATTTCCTTTTCTCTTATGTTTCGTCACATACTCTATGACACCTGAGCATTGGTGTGAAGTTGGAAGGATCGATGCAATCCGGGGCCTCACCCAAGCTAGTCGCAGGAGATGCTGTGTGTCGACGGGGGATACCGGTAGACTGGATATAGAGGGTATTGGGGTACGCTGGTACGACGATCTACGTAATACGACATCAAGCAAACAAAAAGACAAGGATTATACTGGTTCAGGCCCCTTGATAGGTAATAGCCCTAATCCAGTTGGTATGGATTATATGAGAAAAACCACAGATTACAAAGGGAATAGCAAAACTCGATGATACCGAGGAGACCGTAGTCGAGTTGGTTCGACTAGATCACCCGGCGACTTAGATCCTGTAGGCTCCGACTTCGTAGGCTGTGGTGGGTGTGTTGGTGGTGAGATTCGATGCCTTAGGTCCTCCCAGGGGGTCCCTTTTATACCGCAGGTCAGTTGATCTCCAAGTAGAACTCGGAGATATCGGACCCCACACGATACAGTAGCACCCGACTTCTGCTTAAATAAACTCATGTGACCAATCGCGACTTCTGATGTCGGAATCGTTATCGCTCTCAACTGGTCGATCTCGGTATGATAACCGTAGAGACATAGAGTTATCGATAACATTGCACGAAGTTCAACGGTCATGAGTGAATTTAAATTGAAGTTTGAAAACTGCTGCGCGTAACGGACCCAGAAATTTCCAGCGGCCATCTCTCTCCTTTCCTTGGAATTCACACCGTCAGTAGTGCGCTTATTTAAGGGAGTTTTGGGGATCCATTTTGAAGACCGTTTGCTGCAAAACTTTCCAGCCTTCAAGCGCCCCTTGTCTTCTCCACTTCCGCAGAAAAACCCTAGTTTGCTCATCTCGGTCTATTCTCCAACGATCTCCGGCGGTGATGGATCTCGACAAGTCCACCTCCACCAATGCGTCCCTGAAGAAGCTGCAGGACGACGGTGCCCTCCCTGGTCGCGGGACCATGGAGAGAGAAACAGGAGGTACTGAACCAGAACCTGTCTTGAGCCGCATGGTTGCGGTTGAGGATTATATTCTTTGCAGTTTTCTTCCTCCGCCTTCCGAGTTTCTTCTTCTTGTCTTGAATTTCTACGGCCTTTCCTTGCTCCATCTGAACCCCAATTCCATCGCCTTCCTCAGTATCTTCTCTTGTCTTTGTGAGGCCTACATTGGGGTAGAGCCATTTGTTGATCTCTTTCGCTTTTACTATGAGTTGCGCTGGATGGAACCAAAAAAGGTATCTGGATGTGTCGGTTTCCGACTTCAGGATGGCCTGAAGTCGCGATTCATCCCCTTCCAGTGCCCCTCTTCTCGTAGCAAATGGCGGGCGAGGTGGTTCTATCTTCAGATAGAAAACTCGGATCCAGTCTTTGTTGTCCCTGAGGAGCAACCAGACAAGATTTCAGAGTGGACCGCCAAACCCGCCCTAACTCCCTCCTTTCAGTCTTTCATCGACATTATCGATGACCTCCGAATACGAGGGTTGTCGGGGTATGAAGTCGCTACCGACTTCATCAGTAGGCGGATCCAACCACTCCAGGCCCGAGCCCACCCGGCCTTTGATTATTCTGGGCCGGAGGACACGACCTGGGTTTCTCATCGGGGTATTTTTCTTGTATTTCAGATTTCATTCTTTATGTGCATGTTCCTCCTGACTTATCGAGTTCTGGTTCTCGATCCTACAGGTTTGAACAGCGAAACAGTGGAGTGTTGCGTCAGTCAAGTAATGATCAGCGGCCCTACAACGGCGAGCAATGCCCCCGTCCCCCTTTGCGAGAAGGGGACGGCCGAGCGCGAGGCTGCAATCAACGTGGGTGTACTCGATGGCTACCTTACTTAAGCTTTCCTGGGATCGCATTGTAACTTCATGTACGCAGGCTCTCCCTCTGACGGACGTTATCGGGCCGCTCGCGGATCACCAGACGGCGACGTCGTTAAAGGAGGGCGTTGCCAAGGAGGCATCTGACATTGCTGCTGCTGCTGCTACAACGAGTGGCAGCAACGTTCCGAAGAAAGGGAGGAAGTTCTCCTCTGTACTCGGAAACCGTCGGAAAGCGGAAACCGTCGGAAAGCGCCTACTCCGTCGGTAAGCCTCTCTTGTTTCTTAATCATGTAGTCGGAATATTTTGACCTCATATCGTGCTATCTTGTTTAGGCCTCGGATGCATCTCCCCCGCCCCAGTGAAGGCAAAGGCTGGTGACGCTTGGCGAGAAGTAAGTAGATGTTTTAGAAGTCATCCTATTCGCAAACTCTTGCTTGCCTGTCTTCATGAAATTGTGGAAATCCTTCATAGGGCGGCGCGGGCGAAGGCGGCGCAAGACGGGTCCGGCGCGACATCCAGCGTGTCACCTATGGCAGCTTCGACGGATGTCGTGGTCACAACTAGGGACCGGGAGGCGACGCCGAGTGGACCCGCTGGCGATCTTGTGCCCGCTCGGGGCCCACCTGTTGATGCCCTCACCTGGAGGGAGCTCCAAGCTGAGATGGAGCGCATCCTCCAGGTTGGTGCTTGCGGCGTCGGCCGCGAGATCGAGGAAGCCAGGGCGGCAGCGTTGTCAGTAACCCAACACGCTGAGCAGCTGGCGCGCGATTTTTCGGAGACCCACGAGGACCTCCTCAAGATGAGAGAGTTGGTGGCCGACAACGAAAGGTAGCG